AGGTTAATCGGAATTGTGTTTACGCCATTAATTGTTATTCCTCCTTTATGGTAGGTTCTAATAATATAATTTATGTTGAAAGTTAAATAGCATCAGCACGTTTCTTGAATTGATTTTAAAACGGACACGCGGTAGGTCCTCTTAGCTATTTCTGTATGGAATATTCTCGAATACCCGCAACATCCGCATACTTTATTGATCATCTATGTTATTGTTGGAACGATGGCTTCAGATAAGTCATTTCTGGGTTCGATTCCGACGCGGAATAATTTCATCATCTCTCCATTCCGATAGTCCCTAAAGTAAGACTAAAGGGGCCCATTATGCAACACATTCTACACACGTCTAAGATCTTTTCCACTTGTTTGTAAAATATTCCTATACAATATAAGAAATCGTTTGAAAACTAGTATTAATAAATGCGAAAAAGAAGTTACACACACAGTTGACATTTGAATGCTAAAACGCATTTCAGTGCAGTTGGAACAAGTTAGGGGTGCCGAAAAAATATCGTATAATATATGTTTATAAAATATATCGATGTTTCATTAATTTATTTTGATCCCATATATCGATATTCAACATCGAAATCTTATCATAAACCATACTTTTATCAAATTCGAATCCGGGACAGAGTTCGTACATTCAAATATTTAATACTTGTCGTACGTTTTTGCACGACAGGGCCTAAAAAGAAAATATCGATATATCGATATTTTCTCTTCGATATATCGATGCCGATATTGATGTTTTTATAAATATCGATATCTTTTTCACTCTCGGCATCCCTAGAACAAGTCAACGTTTCCCATAAAAATCTGTAGCGTTCTGTTCTCGCCGATAAGGCCGCATTAACCCTCCCGAATGATGGATGCTCAGAGGGTTCGGAATTTAAAAAGCCATCTTCGAGTTTAACCGCGTGTCGGTCGTTATTTATCGCTTACGCAAACAGTCGTTAGCGAAATAATTATTATTATATTAACGCGGCAACGATACGCAATCATGACTCTTATGCTCGTACGTTTGGGGCTAATTTTGTATGCCCAGAACGAACCATCGTTATAGCAATGATCGCCTCGCTTTAGAACGTTTTAACGCAACATCCCAGTATTCAGGAATACATAGGTAATCTCGATCAAATGATACGTTTACTTAACGCGGGAGTTTAAGTTTTACATTCGTTAGTAAGCGGTATGTTTGACGTTTTGGATGTGCAGTATTCTCTCTTGTCTTGCTGTGCACTTGCAAGTCCCCTGCCTCCTGCTAATTTTATACTTAAATACTTTTGTGTATATACTTGAATAATTTATATAAAAAAAGATTATGACCGCAGAGTTCCTTGCTGGTTCTTCTCTTGCAGGTCTAGTTTAGTCAACCGGTGGTAGTTTTTGACGTTCAATAAGACCTTGAAAAAGCCTATGTTGAGTATGTGGCTAACAAGTTAGAGGTCCGCTTGATGTAGTCTCCATGGAAATTATGGTGAGGTCGTGGTATTTCCTTCGGAGTGTACAACAGTTTATTTTGTATTTCAAATACCTCCTCCATTTTGCGTGCGCGTACAAGATCCATGTGCGTTATCAAAGTATGCAATCTCCCCCATACTATTTTCTGCATAAGGCGATATTTATGCGCTGCACCCTTTCCTGCTTTTATTTTAGTACTTTATGTCTGACTATTTTCCCTCAAGAATCTCGTTTAATCTCGGGTTTCGTTTGGAATGCGGCTCTTTAATGCGGGTATAATAGTTTAGTTTTTCTTGTAGGCGAAACTATTTGGATATCCATCGTGAGTTAACCGTTATTAACGGATAGTGTCCACTACAACACACACACACACACGCACGCAATAAAGGATGGTATATAATACTCAAAACGTGCCCTACGTGTGGGTTAATGCGTACTGTGTGACTGTGTGACTGTGTGATTGTGCGATTGCTTAGAGTTTAAGCTATGCAAATACAGATGTCAATTATTCCTTGACCCGCCGCTGCGGAAGAATCAGGTTAAATTGTTTAAATGGCAGCACGTGAAAGGGTCAGCTTGACTGGGCTTTTCGCATTTACATTTTGGTGATTAGATTTGGACTAAGGTTTTTAATGATTGATCATTACTTAAGAATACTTCAGCTTGATATCGCTATCCGATTGTCGATACAGCAGCTATATTATATCGATAATTTGAAAATTTTAGCGATATCGTTGTTGCTTTTATAAGTTAATAAAAATTTTGTAGGAATTAATGTTACGTAAAGTAGTAGAATAAAGATTAATGATATGCCTTCATTCTACTAGGGTAACAAAGACAAATAACACATCCTGCCGGAAATGTATAACGTTGATTGAATTCCAATAAGGTAACAAATCTTTTAATAGTCTGATCTCCTAGTACCTATTTAGAATCGACACCACGGATAAAAATATCCCTCGTCCCACGTTCCTTTCTTTTTCTTTTAACAATAACTATAAGGTTTAGTAGGTGTTAATATCTTGTTTTGGCGCGAATTAAGTTGTTAAATAAAACTATTTTACGGATTTTTTCGCGTTTAATTAGATTTTTAAATTCGTTTCGAAACCTTTCCAGCGTCCATGTTACAACGACAGATACAACATACGACTGAGAATTTCCGGAACGTATTGTAGGCCCTTCACATACTTTCCTCATTGGGAAACGACCCAAGACCAGTGATGTCCAAGGCTATAACTTAAAAGGGGGTAAAGATTCATTGCTATCATCGTGTGAGGGCTTCACGTTTAAGTGGCCGCGTTATTCACAACACGTCCAAATCGATTCTAATATTGTTTAGTACGGCTTTTGATGTGTCCCGTTTCCTGTTCGAATTGTGACGTTTGGTAACGTTGTGGCGTGTAACTCTTTACGTCACTTCCTCTGTTTCGGTAAGCGTACACTGCACTGGGTAGTAGATAAAACTAGTTTATTCCGGATTTCGTCTCTTAATGTTACGTATTGAGTCGTAGCTGCTTAGCCACCAGAATGGCTTTCAAAACTGGCCCGTGGGTTGTGCTGTAGACTAGTGGTTTTATTCAAAACAAGCAGCTTTATAATAATTGTAATCGAATAGGTCATTTAGAAGAACTTCAACAAAATCATTGATGATGCATAATGATATAGAATTATGTTCGAAATATTAGATCGAATCTACGACGGTCGACGAGCGTCCCATATCGTCCAACGAACCACATGCAGTAACGCACGCAATAGAGCCCGGCCTTCACCCGTCCGATAACTTGCCCAAATCAATTGGCCGCCGGCGGCCTTGCAGGAATTGTGATGGCTGAGAGAGAGACACAGAGGGAGGGAGATGGAGTAATTGAATTCCCGCACTTTGGATGTCACGCGGCGCGCGGATGCCGCTCGCAGCTGGACGGCCGCCGCCACTGATTGGCTGCGCGCCTGGTACTTATTAGCCCGTTATTGTGTTTAGCTGCCGCCGCTACTCGAATTCTCGAAGCGACTACGCTCTTGTAATTTATGTGGTCCTGGTAGGATGCAAGTCACGATAGCGCATTGCTTTGGAGGTCCACCTACCGTATCTAGTTCGAGCGCTGCAGACTTCATTTTGGGCTACTTGTTGACTCTTCGACCAAGTGAATGAACTGAAATGCTAAGGATGTTTTTATTTTAGGATTATAATAACATTTTATATGTATATGCAGTCGTGGTAAACGTAGGATTGATATCGTTATCGATAATCGTGCGTGAAAATATTTCTGTTTTTTAACCTAAAAATATGCCTTTTGCAAGTTTCTATGTGATGAATCAGCTATAGTCATTGCCTTGCAATGACTATAGCTGATTTAAATAAAGTGTTGGTTATCTGTTTTACTTCATTATTGTTTTGTATCTACTTTCAAGTTTACGAACTTAATACACAATAAATAAGTCAATAATGATACTTTTCAACGAGAGAATCTATTTGCTTTTCTAGTCAAATTCTTCGGCACAGAAGTGTACATAGTGAACAAATAAAAAAAAAAACAACATTATATCCGCGCGAAATCGTTTTTCCTTCCTCGTGCGTTTCCTAGAAATTCGATTTTCGCCGCGGTGAATTATGTAAACAATCCGCAGCCTTATCATTTCGCCGTCCCAAACAAATCGGCTTATCGCTTTCGGCGTCATTCGCCGTTCGTCATTCGCCGATGCGTTCCGATGACGGATCCCCGTGCGTGCCGATTCGTTCGCCTCGTAAACTTAACGCACGCGGCGTTACAACGCGTTGCAATCAGGTGATCCGATAAAGCGTTCGAAATGCGTTCGGTTCGAAAACGGAATGTCTGCTGTTATTGCTTCACTCGAGCCAGGCGATAAGTGAAGTCCCCTGAATCATTGCCCTGTACGGAGGAGGCTTTTACCCAGCGTGGGACATAAATAGGCTACTTATACTAATATACACTTTACTTCAAGCCAAAGGTCACCACAAACCAATGGCTTAGCCACTGTACAGACAGTGACATCAAAACTTAATCCGTGAGGAGTTTAGCCTGAAAGAGTTATTAATAAGCCTCAAATTTCTCATAACTTGACCAAACTTACTTTAATACTACCATTCTTCGGCGTTTAGCTGGTGCCTCGGACGAGCCTGTGGTCACAGAACAGGTGTAATCGTGAACGATGACGGTGGTAGGGCCATGCAACACTGTTGCACGAAGAGGCAGGTCCGTCCGGATACCACGACCTCACAGAAGACCGGCATAAAGTAGAAGTCTTACACTTCTGCGTTTCGTCTGGTGAGTGTGGTAGCCGGGGCCCACCAAAAGTCAAAGGGCGGCGGTTATCACTTAACATCAGGTGAACCGTTTGCCACTTTATCACAAAAAAAAAACCACTTGCACAACTCGATGTGAGATATTGCGCGACATGCCACTGGTCGACACAACGACGTTAATTACATTTCCGACTGCCGGCTACTTGGTCATCGCCACTCCGTCTTGTAACCTAACCAAACCTTTTACATAAATGTATAATTGCTCTCTTTCGCAGAGGTGACGCAGATCGAAGACCCGAGGCTAGAATGGCTGAGCATCCAAGAAGCCATGCTCCGGGAGTACCTCCACACGGCGCAAGAGGCGCTAGAGGTGAGTTTTTAGTTTTAGCCACAATATTGTATTTAGTGTGGTTTTTGTGGAAGATTCAAATGACAATATTGTAATATGAAATACAATATTGGTATTTTTAATTTCATGTGTTTACTTTATAAAGTTTCAAATCGAACGTTCGGTCCGCACGGCTTGCCATTAACTAGGTTACTTAATACGTAACAACAACAGTTCTACGGTTTTATTCCTAGTTTTGTTTTGTTCTGTTTTCATACTTTTCCACCTAGTTCGACGAGAACGGCTGAGAAGTTTCCATCAGCTTTTACTCCACATTTGTAATGACGATACACGCGATGATTTAAAGTAATTCTATTTGCGAGTGCGTCGTAAACAACTTGAATTCACGTAATAGGATTATCATATAGGCAACTTGCGAGTAGATAGAATCTAATTGAATTCTATAAGACATCAATTAACACTAAGTACAATGACGTATCTACCCTTATTTTTTAACAGTTAATGACAAACAAGCGATGTTAATTATCGTAAATTTATCGCTCTCTGCGGAAATCCCCAGTATCAGGTGGGTTAGCCGCGTTTGCTAACGTAAGAAATCGTCTGAATTTTATCAGTCATTGTATCATTTATTAAGGCTAATCGATATTAAGACTCGGTCGTGTCATTGTACAGCAAAACTTCTACTTCTACTTCTACGTTTCGGCTCAGTGAAACCTGAAGACAACAATCTTTTAAGATTGGAACCATAAAACACTTACCAAATCGCGCGCTTCTTTGTCACTTTCTAGCATGAAAGAAATAACAAGATCGATATCGATAGACGATAACGATGATTTTGTTTTTTTTAAGCAAATCACTTTTCAATACCGACGCTATCGATATCGGCATTACTTCGGAAAATCTCGAACGAAACTCGATCGGCAAACAGATAAAGAGAAACGAGACGCGAAGTTTCGAAGGCGTTGGCGGACCCGACCACCGAAATTCGCAACGGACCGTAATTAAATATACATTTAAGATAATGCCGATATAATGTCGCGCTATCTGTAATGAATGCTGTGGAAAACATTAATGTGCCCCTCGGTCAGATAAAGTTGGTATGCGATGCCGCTGATAACGCGAGATAAGATGTAAGTGCCGATGTTTTAGCGGATTGTGAACGCGACCCGGCTAAAGATTGCGGGCGTTAGCCATGCGGTAAAGTTAAAAGCGAAAACACAAACTTAACTTTCCAGTATTTAATTTATTTTTTTACCGTCTGGCTCAGGACTTATGTCTGTCATATTACTTTACTAGCTTTAAATTGGTTCATTGCGAAGATCAGTCCTGTATAGTTCAGCGCTTTGGGATCTCTGAGTGCAGCTGTTAGTGAGGTATGTTTAACGTTGTTGGTGCAAGAAAGATAAACTATGACATATATAAAATATGTATTTAGAATTATGTAGTAGCCAGATACAAGTCGGCTGTACGTTAATTACATGTTACGGATATTATTTGGGATATTACTAAATCCATACTAATATTATAAATGCGAAAGTAACTGTCTGTCTGTCTCGCTTTCACGCCAGAACTACTGAAGCGATTTAAATGAAATTTGGTACACAGATAGTCTAGAGCCTGAGAAAGGACACAAGGCTATTTTTTAATTGGAAAAAAGTGTTGTAAAGGGTTGAAAATATGTTTCTTATATATTTTTTAAAGAAAGATATTAATTTAACGCAAACGAAGCCGCGGGTGAGAAACTTGTATAATATAAAGTATAAACAATGTTATGTTCAAAATGCAGTACCAGTATGTACAATTTGTACAATGATTAAGTGATTAGACGTGAATGACGAAATATAATGTAAGCGGTTGGTTCACATGATGTTAAGTTGCTGCTCATTTAGATATACATCATGACCTCAATCCCCAGACGAAACACAAAAGTATAATATTTCCCGTTCGCGCTGCTTGGCTATGAGGCCGTGTTACTTATAAGCGTTTGCCCATTAGGGCTTTCGAGTAAGGATTATGTTAACAACCGGGTTTTCACACTAGCGACTCTTTGGTATACGACGGGATTCCCATCGCATTATAAAACAATGCGTCATAAATATTGTGGACTTGCAGCGTAAAGAATAGAAGTATTATTACGGGTTTATCGTGCTCAATTCTACATTTCTTTTTCTCAAAGCTTCGAACGCTTTTAGTTTATGCTATAATGCACCACGTATCTATACTTTGAATGCTGTAGATCGATTTCAACCGCCTCTAAACATCTACTACCTTTCGTAATTTAATAAGGGATTAAGTATAATATGAATTTATCCAGCGTCCAAACTGTTGCCGATTCAAATCTCATCCAAATATGTCGATACCGCATAGAGAAGGCTGTGGTGCTTCCCCGGACAAGTTCGACCCATATGCAACAGCAAAAGCCGCGTTGCCCATCCACAATAACTTTGAGGACTCCATGGTGCAGTTGCCAAAGCATTGGCTTCGGCGTCGGGGGTCGTGGATTCGATTCCCAAACGGGACAACTATTTGTGCGACACACAGATAATTGTTTCGCATCTGGATGTCTGTCCACTTTAAATTTATGTTTGCAAAACGTCCTTACAACAGGATAATGTTATCGATAAGGGCAATGTTAAAAAAAAAACTATAAAATCTAGGATCATGGTCAAAGCATGTCACTTCATGGAGCCCACAGCGACCCGAGAACGGTTAAAGTCGATCCTGGCCAAACGCCAAAGCGGGCGGCAACGTACACCACGCTATGCGAGGTTGACTTATGGAATGCGCGAACGCGGTGCGAGTAATCCTCGTGTATACAGACGATTTACGACTCTGATGCTCATAGTGATAAATCTCAAATTTGACATTGCTTCTATGCATAGCTACTTTGTTAATGTCAAATCTAGAACGACCATTTAATTAGTTTCATTTATAGTTTTAAACGAATCTTTGGTAATACATCTGTGAGTTGTGACGCATTTTAAAGCGAACCTTTTTCTCATTACTCAAATAGTAAATGTATAAAAGTTTTATATTTTTTACCACTTCATAGCGTTAATAACTGAGGTTAGTAGTTATTGAAACGAAACGAAGGAAAGACGTATTAACTCGCTTAATGGATGTTAGCGACGACTGTGCCCCGCTTTAAAGGAATTAGAAATTGTTGTATGGCTTCATTTTAATACTGCCTATTCTTGCCTAGCCTGGCGAGCAGAAATATACTCTCTTTTGCTTCAATAGATGTTATAACTGTGTCAGATGGCAACGAGTGACTAGTACTTTCGTAACTTCAATGCAGGATTCATAGAATAAATAAGCTTTGGCAAATTTTAATCATGTGACTGGCTCTGCCTTACGGATGACTGCGTACTCTATGCTAAAGCGTCTACTGTCAAATTATCAAAAGTCTCACTTAGTCCAAACCGATGCAGTAGAAGAATAACTATTATAGGGCGAAAGAATTGCATACAAAAATTGAACTTCCGTTATAGTATTTGGAGAGGTCAATCAGCTTACAGGATTTGAGACTACTACAAGTACTATACACAAACCCTATCTGAAAGCACTGTGTACTCTTCTACTAGAGTACTCAGTGATTTCTAAATAGGATATCTAAATGCTTACTGACTTCTAACGGCTAGTTTAAATATTCTATCTGTAGATTTAATTTGATTACTCTAAATAGAATTTTGATGTAAGTATTAAGGAGCTAATTTCAAGTACTTATCGCTAGTAACCAAATCTACAGATGTATTCTGAAACGGGCCATATGTGTTTGATAATGACATAACAGGTCACTTAAATGATATCCAAAGAAGCTTTTGATAAGGCTGTTAGATGTGAAGTTAGTTTTTGTTAACAAAAAAACGGTAACATTACTGTAACTAGTGTTTTTCGGTTTCAGCGTTTTTGGCATGGATGTATGGGGCGATAGGGTATGCTACGCTTTTTTGCATGTATGTAGTGTATGAAATTGTGAGAGCATGTCACAATCAACTTCGCGGGCCTCAGCCACAGCTTTCAGCATACCTGTCACGTCCGCAAGGTTCGCACTCTGCCAGAGTCCCGTTAACGCTCGCGTGTCGAGGCGCGGACGTGACGGAGATCCGCGGCCGCTATCCCGGATCCGCGGATTCTACGACGCGGATTTCGCATTTGATCCGATAGCCAATCAGAGATTACGCAGAGCATTCATTTCGAAAAAAAGAAACAGTAAGCGAAATACAACGAAACCACTGCCATTCGGTTTTTGGTTACGCTCCTGAGCGTCGTTACACTTCATTCGCATATTTCCACCGGTCCAGGGAAGTATTACAGAACTGAACTGTTCCTTTGGTGATTTCACTTTAACTAGCTGAGAATGCTACGTCGAGCTACTGAAATTATCCTGGAGCTGTGCAGGCGCATTGATTCGATCGAAAAGTAACGGTCCCAACTGGGGTGTTCGCCGGCACCATTCATCAGTGCCCGCATAGTAGATCGACAAGTTGTGACCTTACCCGGCCCCGAGGCAGACCCCGCGGCGTCTCGGGAAAAAAACGTATAAAAAGCGACGCCTTACGCGTCCGTGGCAGGAATGCGGCCTGACCCCAGACTGACGCGTGGCTCGCACTCGATAACCCTCGGTTACCGACTGACGTCGAACGATAGCACTCGCGTAACCAAAAACCTCAATCGTTAGATCGATCAGCTCAACATTACGACCTCGGTTTCACTTTACCTGTGGTAGGGCTGCGCAAGTCTTTGTTGCACGATTAGGCAGGTCCATAAGTACCAAGACCTCACAGAAGGCCGGCGTGAAGTAAAAGTGCTACTGCGTTTTTACTCTTTGGGTACTAAAAAAGAAAAAGTAAAACATGACATATGATACTAAATACCGATCGCTGCGTTCTCTCGACACTAATTCGCACTTCGGTAGCTCCGCGTAACAGTACTTCATACCCCGGTTCGGCTCGCATTCGGGTGTTTTGCATTCCGAAACGCTTAGGTCAATATCGCAATCACGCGATCGGTCGCCTCGTGCCCCGCCACCGACTTACTGTGCGCTTGTTTGCATTTCTTTCCTACACGCGAATCGCACGGACATCACTACATAGTATGAAACAAAGTCGTCCCGCTGTCTGTCTGTCCTCATGTATGCTTAGATTTTTAAAACTGCGCAACGGATCTTTATACGTTTTTTTACTTGATAGAGTGATTAAAGAGGAAGGTTTGTATGTATAATACTTTGTACTCGCGCGAAGCCGGGGTGGGTCGCTAGTTAGTAATAACAAGAATGTCATGTAAAATGATTTAAACTTTCGTGAGGCGTTATTAACGAAATAAACCAGTCGGTACGTACACTGATGGGACGTGGGTACAGTTCATCATCGCCATCCACCTTCCCTTATGCCAAACTAATTGGGGTTGGCGAAACATGTGAATCATGTTGTAAGATATTTTGGGTATGATTTTTACGACTAGCTGCCTGTCTGACGTCACCTACTTGGGAAATAAAAACCCAAATCCGGAACAATTTGTTGGTCACATATATGCTTATCCAGTGTGGGGATCGAACCTAGGACCTCTGAAGCCAATGGCTTAGCAACGGCGCCACCGAGTCGCGGCATTCATTTGATAATAGCAAATGTAGCAGCTATCATTATTTGACAATATTAAGTAGGAGTCAAGTTAGCTCTGGAGACTTCCGATTAGCAAAGTTTGCACTCTTAATATAGAAAGAAAGTTCACCTAATTCATTGCAATGAAAGTTAAAGTGAACAAATTTTTTAATTAATTAATTAATATTAGAGGTAGAGTTGTTTTTTTTTGTATAAGAACTTGTCTAAGAGTTTTAATAACGTGTCAAAACTGAACCAATTTTAGCATAACCGAAATTTTAGAAATCAGATTTTGAAAAGACCATGCCAATTGGTATGCTCTATTGATCAAGACTCCCTACTAAAAATAAAATAAAGTATGGCTTTACTATGGAATGTACAAGACATGATGTGGTTGACGTATCCACATGGATAAAAACTTCATATTAAATTAATAAACATATAAGAAAAAAAAAACTTATAATTGATCAAAACTTGAATTTGTTCAGCCACATGTACCGTTTCTAGAATTAATTCCGAACCGCACATTCGTACGACTCTTAACCATCTATCTTGCCTGGAATAGATCTTATCGTATGGGCGTAGTAACGAGTCGCTCTGGCTGGCTTAATTGGCATCGTCGTGGTAAAAATAGTAGCCTTCGTGATAAAATCACAAGCAAATATATTACATATCGCTTACAATACGCACTACCCAAACTTGATCTCAGCGCCCGCGCGTTACCGCGTGTAAATTTTATCAGTCAAATAGCGCAGCACTCGTTTCCTTGTTCCATACACATTTGCTCTGATCGGTGATTTGTAGACCTTGTGAAATTCCACGGCGTACGGCCGGCCATAAACGCGATTACATTATCTCCGTACCGGTATGCCGTTATCTTATCGCAGCTATTGCCGGGCCACAGGGTCGATTGCCGCGCGCGCTTCGCTTTTTACAGCGCGCCTGACGATTAGCCGTGTGTACTAGATATCGTGGAATCCGTAGTTGGGATTTGGCCGGAAAAGTGCCGCATACCGACGTCGTGTTACGCCACTTTTGCGTTTTACTGTTGTTTCTGTTTAACGGACGTGAATCACCCAAAATGTTGTATAAACAAACATGAATAGTTCAGTTATGTATGCACGTAATCCTTCACTTAAGTCTTGTCTTCAATTATTGGCGTCGGCTAGCGTTTTCTGTTCCCCTGATAAAGACATGATCGCGATCCTAAACAAACGACCTGGGAAAACATAAACGGACAGACGTAAAATATGAAACGTCAAATTCATCATCAGCATCATCATTTCAGCCTCTTTGAGTCCACTGTTGAACGTAGGCCTATCCCATACACTGCCAAGAAATAGAATTCTGAGCCATCTACATCGGGAAACCGATTTTAGACACTTGCACACGTCGTCACTCCATCTAGTGGGGGTCATCCCGCACTGCTATAGTAGTAGAACAAATGTAGCCGACTTAGCTCAGAAGATTAACAAGCTGCAGTGGCGATGGGTCGCCTATATATCTCGTAGAACATCTACTTATCATTATTATAGAACCTGCAACACAGTGCACAATGTCAGATGGTACAGTGAGCCACTTAAATCGATGCGCCAACCGTGCCATGGTATTTCTGATTTACTTCAACGTCTTACGGCAATTCATGAGTAGTTTACAGTATACCAGAAACGAATCTGCTATCGTTCGCGTTAAAGACGACACGTGGCGAATGGCGTCCACTGCACCATCGTTTGCTTCAAGCACCCCGCGTATTGTATTAGCCCACCAAATAAAATTTGGAGTTTTTAAGAGTGTTTGCAGCCGCGATAACATTCGTCCCTTAAAGAATGAAAGAAAATACATTTATTTACCAACAAAAAAGGACGCACACAATAAAAAGAGAAAAAAAAAAACTAAAATTAACAAAAAATAAAAGAAAAAAAAAAATACTTGTAAATAATTCAGTAAAGCAAAAGGACACAAATTCGTAATTAAAATATAAAACAAATGAAAAAGAACTTTAACAACTTTAGTAACTTCTCGAACAATCTAAGCTGCTTAATAGGAAACGGTTGTTCCAAATAGGCAATATGTAGTGTGCAGCTCTAGACAGTGTGATGAATATTTTTTTAATCGCTAATAATGCTTATCAACAGTCGCATCATCACCGCATGTTTTGGATTATATCTGTGCTGTAATGAACTGACTAATTTAATTACGCCCTTTACATATATAATCCAAAAAAATCGATGCCTCATTTATTCAGTTGAATAATACGATTATTTCTTGATATACTTACGCTATCTGATCAAATTATTTCGATTGAATTAAAAAAATATATTCATTAACTTTAAAACGACAGTTAATGGTGAAATACAAATTAAAAACTGCCATTTCGTTACACGCCGTGGTCTTATTGACACTATATGGGTATGAAAGCTCGGTGAAACGTGAAACTAGTTGTTTCTATCCACCCCGTTAGCATTAAGCAACTTGAGGGTTTTTTGTTAACCGCTTATCCGCATTTAGGCGTCGTTAATGTTGTAAATGTGAAAGCATTCCGACGGTTGCCCGTACTCCTCAACGGCTTCTGTATAAATGCTTTCGCGTATTTATGGGAATACTTCGAATTGTAACGGAATTAAAGGATAATCGTTTCTTGCAATTTAAGGATATTATCGCTTTCAAATATACCGTTAGACAGCGCTGACTGTGTACATATAAATATAAATTATGTCATAGTGATACAGTCTATACCAACGTCCGCTCTCCATAGATGCTGAAAGATATTAATTAGTAAAGTAAAATACGTTTAGTCAGTCTCCCAGACTACTAATTAAAGCCCTGATTTTTATATACTAAATGTATTTGGGCAAAATTGGTCTTTTTAACGATCAGTTTTAATTTAAGGTAAATCTGTGGGCTCTTTTCGTATTACACGAAATGCGTGACATTTCCGGTGGATTCAAAACTAAGCTAGTATGAAGCGCGACAAAATTAGTCGGCCGTTCGCGGAACGAGCGTCGGAATTGGCCTTGTACCATGTATTAGTGGTCACCACAGTCAAACGCTGCGTAAACTTTAGCTTAAGGCAGTGCCGGATTAACCACATAGCGAGAGTAGTAATTGTTACGGGCCCCGCGCCAAAGGGGGCCTCGTAGCATATGTAAGCTCGCTTATCTCCGCCTGAGCCTTAAATTTGAACTACACTACATAGTATAAAACAAAGTCGTCCCGCTGTCTGTATGTCCCTATGTATGCTTAGATCTTTAAAACTACGCAACGGATTTTGATGCGGTTTTTTTACTAGATAGAGTGATTTCAGAGGAATGTTTATATGTATATACATTGCACCCGTACGAAGGACGGGCGGGTCGCTAATATTAAATAAGTAAGGGTATTGATTTTTTTTTACCAAACTAAAACTTAGGAACCCATAACAGATCAAGGACTGTTTAAAGAATTCGCTACGGGCCCCGCGTTTGCCTAATCCGACCCTGGCTTAAGGTGTTCACCTTGATTGGGCTCGGGAAAAAGGTTGCGCAACTATCGGTATCGGCTCGGTGCCCTGTTTACAAATAAACG